CTCACGCCTGCTGCGAGCCTGCTGTGTGCCAGGCCTGTGCTTGTGTTCCACCTACACCCTGTAACTTACTGTGCACAGGAGCCTGGAGGAGGAGGTACCTCTGTTGTCTCTGTTTTACAGAACAGGAAACGGGTCCAGGGACGCCCTCCTGGCTCTCTGCTCTCCCTGGTGCCCATCGCCTTCCTCTCTCCTTACTTAGTCTAGCATCCTTCCAGCAGTTAGAGCCCAGAATGTCTATTCTTCCCTTTAAAATCACAATCGAAAAGGAGCCTGCCTCTCTTGGCATCTCCCACACACTGTGGGAGTTCTGAAAAGGATGAGGAGGTACCCCAAGTGCATTAAGCTCTGAGCCAGGTCTGCTCAGGTGCAGACATAGGATGGCATTTTGCGACACAGAGCGAGTGAGAAATGCAAGTCACTTTGACCACACCTTAGATGCACAGTGATGAAGGGCTCACACAGAATCCCCTCCACCCCCGCCCTGGGCTAGGCTCTCATGGCTCCCACCGACAGTCCTCCCTGGGTGTACTTAAGAAGTATAACAATGTAGCATGTGGACAGATGATATATACCATCAACTCTGGCTAATGAAGGAACAGCCAAAGGAAATGAGAAAATCAGCTTATCTGTACCAAATAGCAAATACTTCGTGGATATTGGGAAACAATTCCAGTAGTAGTGGCTTGTACCTGCCCTCGATGTGGAATGGCTTCTGTGTGAAGCCTTGGTGGGTTGTTCCCGCTGACTTCAGAGCCAGATCTTTTCACTTGCAGGCTCTCCCACCTGCAGAAGTCACTGCAGGCAGTGCCAAAACATCTCCATCTGCTTAGCATGGTGGTGCATTTTCAGGGAAACCCTGACTGTCTGACTCTAAAACTACAGTATTTTTAATAAAAAGACTTTCCACACATGGGACAGGTGGCCAAACTCCTGGGCAATTTGGAAAGCACTGTGGCCATCCCACCTGACACATGGCATCGTCAGACTGGTCTCAACTTCACTGGGGCTCTCTTTAAGTCTCCTTTGTCCTCTCTCTCTCTCTCTCTCTCTCTCTTTGCTCCACTAGGAATCAGCTCCGAACTTGGCCAGCCCTACTCCTTTAGTAGTTTTCTCTCTTCTGCTACTTGGGAGTAAGCTGCAAGTCAATGTTCCTATAATATCCCCCAAAGCTAGTATTCCTTTTAGCCCTTTGCACTATGCATAACCAAAGGGTTCTACTCGTTGTCCTCCAGTGAGACCTTGGGGCAGAGGTAAGGATAGCATGAGCTGTTACTGAGAACAAACCCAGTGCTACAAGCACCATCCCTGCAGCAGAGCATTGCCAGTCTATTTTTTTCAGTCAAATGTACACTACTGATTCCCATTTATCCTCACAGCTTGGGCACAGTTGTATTAATTTGAAATCAACATGTATCCTTGTTGAATTAAGTGCTGTCAGTGTTGGGGAGGGTTCTGCTTCCTAGTTCTTTCATTCAGGAAAGGGACCTCCTGATGCCAGAGTGTGATCCATTTAGTAAAGGAGGGAAGGATTTCCTCCCAGTGCTGTGGACACCTGGGGCAAAAGCAGTCTGCCTGTGTTTTTAATAGCATATGGCAGAGAAGGAAGCTGCCATGCTCTATTACCACCTGTCCCTTCCCTCCATTCTTTCTTTTCATGTGGGTCATTTGTAGTCCCACTCCACTGACAAAAGGCAAAGGATGCTGCCTGGTGGGACACAGCACTGAAGTTCCTACCAATGGCTTCCTCCAGCCTGATATGTTGGTTCTTGGAGGACAAGGACTTCTGAAGCCCAATTCAATGATTAAATAATAGGTGCCCCTACAGTAGGGCTGGGAAGAAAGGTCCTTATTGGTACTTTCTGAAGGAGTTCTCAACTGGGGGCAGTATTATCCTTGTAATAAGTGTTTAACCATATATGGGGGCTGGGTTCGGCGGGGGGGTGATTTTGGGTTGTCACCATGACTTCTGGCATTTGGTGGGCAAGGTAGGAATACTAAACATCCTGCATTAAGTAAGTAGGTCACACTTAACCAAGAATCATCCCCAAATGCCAACAGCACCATTGAGAAACACTATTAATTCAATACACTTGTCCAGTGGGTTGGGGAAAGTGAAGCCTGAGAAGTTTAACGGCTGGTTTAAGGTCACAAAGCTACTCTCCATCCTGTCTCAAAACTCAGGAAGCTGCCACAGGAAGTTTATCCTCAGTGCAGGTGAAAAATACTGAAGGACCATCTCAGTGCTCCAATTGATTTCCTGCTATGTCAGAGTCTGCAGAGATGCCTCAAAAGTATGTAAAGTAGCCCACAAAAGAATAATGAAAACTTCATGAAAAACTCCATTGGAAGTTTTCATTACTCTGGTCTTGACTGAAGGTTTTAGCTCTATTCTCCTTGACTCAAATAGTAACAGATCCATCCTTGCGCACTCCCAACCCCAAGGTCAATGACCCCAAAGCCTCAGTGTCTCCAGCTGTATTTCTGTCTCAGGGCCATCCCAATTTTACTGTTATTTGGAGTTAGAATGACACCTCTTTCCCCACTTTCAGGAATCAAGGTCCTTGGGAATGTTCTTTCATTAGGTTGGGGAAGGGTCTTTTCCTCTCCATTCATTTGCTTGATACCACTATAGGCTGTTCTATGAAACTGGTCCATCATAGAGTTGATTTCTCAGGATCGGCTAAGCTGAGAGCTGACAATTTAGCTAATGGTTTGCAGTATCAGAAGTGCCAGGCAAAGAAAGAGACACCCTCTGGGAACATGGATTATTTGCTCAGAGATATCGAGAGATTTTAAGTGAGCCCTCAGCAAGCCTTCCATTGCCTCTTGAGAGCAGAGAGAGTATTGGCGGCCAGCAAAGGTCTCCAAAGCCTTTGGTTGCCTGCTCTGGCCCCCAAAGTCCCTACAGGTTCTTCCTGGGAGAAGATACATGGCCAGGCCTCTGGCCCCCAGTCTGGCAATGATGTCAGCTTGGGAGTCTGGGCTTTCTTCTTGCTCCACGTACACTAGGGAAGAACAGTAGTGTGTCTCCTTTGCAGTTTCTCTGTGGCTCACATGCAGTTGCTACTGCAATAGAGAACTCCATAAATTTGCAGCTACTGCAATAGGGCACTCCATAAATTGCAGCAGTAGTGTTCAGCATTCACTGAAAAGTAAAGTTGTGCGATTTTCTCATCAGTTTAATCTCAGTAAGATGAGAAACTTCCCTCGGGCTCCAGCCCTGCCCTGCCATGCCCTACCCTCCCTGCTGATGTCGGCAGCAGGGGCCCCTTCCTGGCCAAGGCACAGATTTCTCCGTGGAAGAGAAAGGGGCTGTAAAGTCTCATCCCCTGCTCCCTCTGACCCTCTGGGTTGGGGAGATGTGGGGTGGGCAATAGAAGGTGAGAACCTCACTCCTTGGGAAAGGCTAACGGTATAGAAACAGTCACGAATACGAGGTAGACTGCCCTGAGTGGATCCAATTTTCCAATTCTCTAGTGGGCCTGGGCTGCTTCAGGGGTAAGATGGCTGCCCAGAGAAGGCATGGCACAAGCCACTGGTTCTAAAATCCTCTGAGGTACTCCTGTTCTATCAAAACATGTGTCCCCATGCCCCAGAGACTTACGTTTCCCATTTGTGGTGCCACTAAACATTCTTCCCATCAAGGCTGCCCTTTTTTTCACCTGCATAAAAATGTTGGGAAAAACATGGAGGAGGGGTTTGGCAGCAGGTTATGTTAACCCTATCCCCCTCCAAGGACCCAAATATGGGGAACATCCATTTCTTCTGTGAGTCAATGCCAGCAAGGCCAGTCAACCCCCAGACCACTCTCATCAACTCCACACTCCGGGCTAACCACAGTTCCCAGTGCCCTGTGAACCTCTGGGAACACTGCCCATCGTGGACTGACATTTGGGTTGCCCAGGCTGACATATTACTTATGCCACAGAAGTTATCTACATCAGGCCAGATGTGATGTAGCCTTTCTTCTGTGGCTTTGCAGAGGGAGAAAGTTTCAGATATTCAGCAGGAAATTGTAAACACCGTGCAAGGAGTTCAAGAAGGGCTGGCAGGGCTCAACTGCTGCTGCCCTTTCTGCACTGCTCTGAGAGGGAGAAATACTCCCCTCCAGCAGACTCAACTGAGAGCTTCTAGAGTTCGAAGACCCTAGAGAGAAATTACTGGTGGGCCCTCCACTACCATTTCTGCATTGCAGAATGCAGCTGGCCATGCATGTGTAGGGAGCAGGGGTCTGGCACTGGCAGTGGGTGTGCCCACGGGATGGAGCCAGGACAATTAATCAAGTGCCTTTTCTCCAGGATTTCAGTTGGCCTCAGATGACAGATGGGGCAGGGACACCCAGGAGAGCACTATTTTGGTTTCCAGCTGGGAACGTGCACTAAGTTTTCCTTAATACCCACAGCACCCAAAGGCTTTGCTGTAATACCGTTTAATGCATGAAACACCCATAAATTATCCTTCAAACTGTTACAACTTCCAACCTGGAACAACTTGGAAAAACCAGCCTAGCAAGCAGGATCATTTTTAATCTCTCAAGTCACAAGAGAAGAGAAAGTTCAAGCAGAAAACACCTTCCATGAGAATCTCAGTTTGTTTTTGTTTTTTTTGAAATAAGAGTTGTAAACAAACAGAGCTAAGCTGCTTGTTTATGTTGGCTCAAAGACACTGCTTGCTGACCCCTGAGGCTCTTCCCCACCCCCTCCCGGGTCTTTGTGCCTGGACCCAAGGCGCTGCCCACCCCTCCCCTCCAGGCGAGCCTCTTCCACACCTGGCAACAGACAGCTGGAGGTGAGATGTGTGACCCAAGTAGCAGGGCTGAGCCTTGGCGACCTGGGTCCTGGAGGTCCTCTGGAGGTCCACGGGTGCGCAGGCTTCTCTATCAAGCCCCAGGCCCTCGCTCGGGACTCCCTGCCCTCCAGCGAAGCGCAGAGGAGCCCGAAGACCCCTGCTCCATTTTCTCTGCACTAGGTCTAGAGCGCCTGCCCCGCTCATCCCCTTACCTCGGGGCAGCATAGCACTTTTCGGACTCAGCGCACACCCGAAGCCCGCGCGCGCTGGGCACTCGCCCTCCGCGGTGCAGACCACCTCTCCTCCGGTCCGGCGCGCTGGCAGCCCGCGCATCCCTCTCTCCACGCTCCTTCGCGCTACTTCACTTGCGCGCTGTCCCCTTCTAGCCCTCGAGCTAGCCGTCACTGGCACCGCCGTGCGGCTAGTACAGGCGCCAGGGCTGCCCCCCAGACTTCGGGCCGTCGCGCGACCGGGACTCCACCACCACAGAGAGCGCTGCAGTTCCCGCACCCACTCGGGACACTTCTCACCGCTGCACTACAGCCCCGGGCCTCCGGAGGAGGTGGGGACGGACATCTCGCCAGACCGGGAAGCATGCACTCTCTCCCGGGAAGCCCAGCCACGCGGCCCGCTCCCCTGCCCGCGCTGCGCCCCTCTCGGGGCTCGGCTTGGGGCAGCCTGACTCACCGCTGCGCTCCCCTCCGGCTCCCGGCGCTCTCTGCTGTGCGGGAGCGCCGAGCTGCTCTAACACAGGCTTCTTGAATTCTTAGCCCCTCCTCCCGTCCTGAGTCACTCACTCCAAATCCTTCCCCCCACTCCAGCCCTCTCCAGCCCCAGCCCCGCACCTGCTCTGGGGGGCTGAGGCGCCTAGCTCTGCCGGGTGCTGGGTGCCAGAGATCTAGCGCTTTCCCGAGGCCTGGCTCGACCCAGACAGGGTTCAAACCTTCAGAGGTCAAAGGGAACGCGCGGGGGTCGGCGGGGCCGCGAGGCAAAGCCTGAACAGGGGTTTTCTGGGGGCACCAGGCGGGGTGCTGGCCCCGGCCGCCACTGAGCCGGCGAGCTGTTGGCGGGCGGAGTTGCCCGGAGCTCCCCGCTCCTCCCCGCCCTCCGCTCCAGCTTGGCCTGCAGCCGGCGCCTCGGGGGTCCGCCTGCCGTTTTCCTCCGTGCCCGAGGCCTCGCTGCTCCAGCTCCGGCAGCTGAGCGGGCTTTTCGCCTGGGACGTCTTCTGTCTCCTCAGACGAAGACACCGGGAGATGCAGGTGCCGGGCCCCCCCACCCCCCCGACACGAGGGAAGGCGGAGGCTCTGGGAACCAGGAGCAGCCAGAAAGCCCCCAGGCGGGGGCGAGTCCTGCGTGGGGAAAAGGGATGAAGGGCTTGGGCCAGGACCTGGATTCGGGGCATTAACTTAAGGCTCTGGAAGGGGTCCCTGACTCCCCTGAAATTGTAAGCAAATTTGTACGTTCCTGTGAGATTCATCCATTTTTCTGAGACAGAAAGTTCAGGTTTTATCAGTTTTGCAAGAGTTCTATGACTAAACTGGCATAGCCAGAGTGCCTTCCGCCCTACCCCAGACCCTATCCAAATTTCCTTTCATCCCCACCGTGTGGACTTTCAGGTGAGGTGGGATCTCCTAGCTGGCCTTCCAACAATTTCTTGGGTTAGTGGATTCAGAGCCCGACAGCGGAGCTTGTCTGACCCAAGACACGCCCTTACCCATCCCAGCTCCAAATTAGCAAGGCACACATACCTCTAAAGTCAGACTTTTCACTAAATGTGCATCATTAATTGTAAGGTTCTGGGGGACTCATAGGCTTTTGGAAATTCACACCCCCACTCCCTCTGGTGTTGAGTTCCTCAGATGTCTCCACTTCTTCCTTGAATAAATTGCATGCTGAATCCTTACCCTGTGCCTGATGCCACAAGGGACAAACAGATGTGGGGAGGAGAGAGGGAAAGGCAGAGTCTCCCTCCTTTGGTGAGGCCATGCCAGCACAATTGAGGTGGTGACCCTCAGGTGCTGGGATTTAGTGAGGCACAAGGGGTTTCTGTTATAAGTCCAAGTCTGTTCCCAGAGTAGAGGGCCCTTGAGCCAGGTGAGGTGCTGCTTAGGGACTTGACTCCCTTGACACAGACTGATCTGAGGTCTCCACTTCTCTCTTCACCTTTGTCCCCATACCTAAGTTTACCCCCCTTAGGCCTGCTGCCAAAAGGATGAGCGAGGGCAAAAGCCCCAGAATTGGGAGTCAGCTTTAGCTTTGGTATGACCTCGTTGTTGCCAGCAAAGGCTCGTCCACTTCTGAGTTCTCCAGATGCAGACTGGTGGATGGACATACTTGGGAGGTGAGTGCAAGTGACTGGGGGCACCATAAATGGCCCTTTGGGCAGAAGTGGCATCAGAGTCAGGGCGATCCATTGGGAAATTTGTCACCGTCAATTAAACAAAGGAATTTCTAGATGATAGGACAAATTCATTCATCAATCATGTCGTGCGTAAACTGGTTTGAAAGCACCAGCTCTAAGCCTTACGTAATAGCTACCGGAGAATTTAGGGATGACGACGAAAATTTTAGAATAATGCAGAATTTGGTTGTTGAATGTAGACCTTTTGCATGTGTCCTTGTGGTGTGACCCTAAAGGACAAAAGGCTTTGGAGCACTTGTTCTTTTTCATGTGGTGTGTTGAAGGAAATTTAACAGTGGTGTAGGCAGAATATAAGCCTAGGTGCCCCACCCACCAAATTGTTGATTATATTCTGCTGGCACATATTGGTTTCCATCCCTGGCTAGCTCTGTTTCTGTTGCTGAACTTCAGGGATTTTGAGTAAATGAGAATACGTAAGTAACAAATGAACACTCCAAGGATTAATTATTGACAGCCAACTATGTGCCAGGCATGTGAGATGACCATGGTACCTGATTAGAGAGCTCATGTGCTTGGGGAGGCTGAATTATTAGACCCTGGCCATGTTTATCCGTCTCCCCAGGGCTTTGCGTAGGCCAGGTGCACAGTAGGTACTCAGGAAATGCTTGTTGAAGCCATCTATGGTCAGAGCCATTTGTGGTCTAGGTGCCCCACCCACACTGGATTTGTTCCCAGCAGGTTCTAGATCAGGCTAGCCTTGGCACAGAGACCATAGCCAGGTGGCTCTCCTCTTGTCACTTCCAGTTTCATGAAGGGCCCAAGAAGAAATGTCCTTTCCCTGGGTCACTGAAATAAGGACCTTAAGGCCTGGGCCAGCTACATTTATAGGAATGGGAAACAGCTGAGAGGGCAGCAGGCAGAAGGAATGGTGCAGACAAGCAAAGGATAAGAATGTTTTCTGTACTAGATTTTCTCAAAAGAGCTTTTATCCAGGGTATCAAAATAACTAGCAGCTGATGCATTTGCTCCCTTGGAGGACAGATTGTGGTGTGTACAGTAATTGTTGTTATTTCTGAGGATTCAGAAGTCTGCAGCCATTGAGTGGCTACTCAACAGCAGCACTTAGCCTAACACAAAGCTCCTGCTCTCCCTCACTTCATTCCAAAGGCCAGGGCAAAATGCTCACGCTATTTAAAATCCCAAGAGGCTCATCAGCAATCTGCCAGCACCGATCGAATCACCGGATCTGCTTGCAATACATGTCAAACCGAAATATTGTCCCAGTTGCTGGAGGAAGTGATAGCTTCAGCTCAAAGAGTTTTGTGTGTGTGTGTGCCTTCCTTCTAATCAGAGTGGAGAAAAACTTTAGAACAAGTGTTTTATAATGCTTAGTGAGATGACATGGTTACTGAATCACAGAGATGATCAGTCTAGCCTCCTCATTTACACAAGAGGAGACAAGGGCTCAGCCCTGTACAAATGGGTCAGAGCCAGACTTTGGCCTGTGCTCAGCAAGTCTGCTTTCTACTGCACTCTCCAGGGGAGGCAGAGGGAAGCTCTCCCAGCCTTAGCCTAAGTGGGGAATCTGGTGAAGGAGCACAGGCAGGCTAGGGGCTCACTCTTCTCGCCTGGGGGCCATCGCTGCTCCCCCTGGGGCTTGCCCCTGCTTTCACTCTCTCTCTGATATCTTCATTCTCTCCATCTCTGTAGGTTCCCTCCATTCTACTTGTGAACCTGCGCTTGCCTTTTCTCTTAAAGAGACTGCTGGCCCTCCTGCTGCCCAACCACTGGATTTCTCAACTTCCTTTCACTATCAAATTCCTCAGCAAAGTGATCTACACCCACCATTTCCTTGGCTCCCCTTAACTTCCTGCAATCTGGTTCCCATCTTCTTCCCCTCCCCCTGTCTCCCCCCTACTGAATCGATAATTTTCTTCTTAAAGGTCACAGTTGCAATAACACCACACCGACATAATCATCACAGCACTTATTGAGGGTATCACCGGGTGAGGCATTTTAGGGGCCTGAACAGTAAGTATCATTTGTAAATAAGGAAGCTGAAGCCTGGAGAGAGAAGTTTCTTACTTAGCATAAGTTACTTGCAGCCAGTCAAATGGCTGAGTAGAGATATGAACTAAGTTTTCAAAGCTCTTGCTGTTAAACACCGTGCCTCCTTCTCCTTTCAGCCAAGTTCGATGGACTCGGCAGTTCCAGTCTTCTTTCCCAGTGACCTCCTGCCTCTAACACTTCCCTTTCAGGGAAAAGTGACTGTACTGTCCTGCTTACCCTCTACCTCCCCAATTTCTCCGTCTGCCCTCGGAATGCAGGGGCCTCCCAAACTTAGGCTGGGCTTTTCCATCCTTCTTCACGCTCAGCCAGCCAGGTGTCTCCTCCTAATTTAATGATTCCACCACCCCCAGCTTCAACTCTGACCTCTCGCACACGCTTCTCCCGTCACTAACATTTTGAGTGTCCCTGTGTGCAAAGTGCTACCTCGGTTCTTGCTGTAGACCGTGTGTACGGGCACCAGAAAGGGCTGTGCTGCCGTCCCACCTCCACCCTTAGGCCCAAAGTCCTTGGGCTTAACTCCACCAAGCCTCAGCCCCGCAGATTTCATCATTGGAGCAGGTCAGAGTAGTTCAGCTCTTCTCCAGCAGGGGCACCACAGCCCAGGAAAGCCACCAGCTTGGAACTGGGAAGATTTACTCAGCTATCCTGTCTGTCTTCTAAGGTGGTGTGACCTTGGGAGAAAGATCTATTCTCTTTGAGCTGTGAGAATATAATTACTTATGATTATCTAACTAAATATATTAAATGAGTAATTTCTGAGCACTGGCTATGCGCCAGTCCTGTTCTAGGTGCTGGGCATTTAGCAAGTGAAACAGCCTCTAGCCACATGGAACTTAAATTCTAGTAAGCTACTTGGCCCACTTAA